TACAGCCCCCGCCCGAAACCCAACTTCCTACCTTCTACCTCCCACTTTTTGTGTGGGCTGCAGCGGCCTTGTTACTAATAACCTCAATCCGAGTTACAGACAAGCACATACACACACACACCGCCTCCCTTGGCCATCTTCCATTTGTTGTTAAAAGGGTAAAAGTCTTCGGGGGGCTCTCATGTTTCTCGCCGAGAGTTTTCCCTTTTTCGGTTTCACTTTTCACCAGCCGAGTTCTCAGATTCGGATTCATGTGCATGACGAGCAGGGGCGCTGGGGAAAATGGCCAAAGGGGGGGGGCGAGGCGACCCTCATCAGCGCGAGTGTGAAATCTTAGCCAAGATGGAGCGGCCACAGCTGAAGCTCATAAGGCCTGATAATTAGAGTACAAATCAGCTTGCAAAGCTCCAGCGAGCAAGGGAAAGTTGGGTAAACAAGGGGTAAACTACAGTATAGTATGTATCACATATTCGCTTATACTAGTATGTAGAGTAGACGGCAAGATGCGTGCCATAACTGTATTGAGATAAATGCATAAATTGATGATCGGCAGCGGCATGCTGAAAAGGCAAATTACCAACAATTTAACCAGAACCGTTAAGGCAGAGAGCCACGTTCATTAGCCGGCGGCTTCTGCTCCTCGCATTTCCGCATCTGTGCCAGCCATCTATCTACGGGCATCTATCTGGCGATCCCCAAGCATTCCATCCTATCCTATACTATCCTATCCTATCCCCATCCCATCAGCTACAAATTGTATCGAGTGCAATGCATAGAATTTATTGCTTCCTGCCAGTGCGCGATGCCAAAACCCAAAACAACGACTCGAACTCAAACTCGAGCTCGAACTCGAACTCAAACTTAAGCCGAAAACTAAAACCGCCGACGACTGCAGCAGCTGCTGAAGCCGGACTGGCAATTATGCCATTTGACATAATTCATAACTGCTGCTGGAACAGCACACTCAAAACAATACATCATGGAGATTGCTTAAAAGTTAGAACAAATTTAAAGTAGCATACTTTGTAAATACGACACTTTTGTTTGTTTTGTTTTGTTTTGTTTTTGTTTGTTTTGTTTGTTACAACTGTTGAAATAAGCTACCAGTTTTTTTGATTTCCTTCTCAACCAAACTAGATTTGATAATAATATTTATTTGTCATTTATTTTTGTCGCTGTGCACTACGCGTCCAGGTCCAGTGCAACCAGTTTGGATAGCCAACTCCGATTCCCGGCCTTTGTTATCATCAATTTATGCGAACGAAAGTTGTTTGAACTGCGACTTGGCTGCTGCTGCTCCTGCAACTGCAACTGCTGCTGCTGATGATGATGCTGATGTTGATGAGTATCAGTGGTAACATGAGGGAGATCCGTGAGGGGTTTCTCACAAGGGGCTGCCACGACGAGTGCATCCAGCAGGAAACTCTTCCTCCAGCTGACCACGTTGGCTTTGCCTGGTTTCTCCTGGGAATCAGGTTAGCCTGGCTTGCAGGGAGAAACCATATTTCTTCGCTTCTTAATAAATTGACAAAAGTTTGTCATATGCATTGTTAGCCAAGAGCCCCTTGGGCACAGTTTGCCCCCTCGGCTCCCTTCCCCTCTGTTGCCTCTGTGGCAGTAACCCCCTTCGAGTTGGCCTATTTACCCGCTTTAACGCCGAGTGGGTGGCTCTGGTCGTTGGCTTTGGCTGCGACAAACTGCAACTGCAACTGTGGTTATGCTGTTTTGATGAACTTTGGGCTGCAACTGTGAAAATTCCTCATTTTCCCGATTTTTCCCTCTTCCCTCTTGCTTCCAATGCCCTAAACCCTGAGATTATGGCTACTTATTGAGGTATATGGGTTAGGTATGGCACAGGGAAATGGCTATCTGTAGATACAAGAAGCATTCTTCACTACCTATTTCACAGCTTACATGAATTAAAAAAAATTTTATAGGTAATATATGCAAACTATAATGATTTGCAGAAAAAAGTAATACACAGTAATATCGAGTCTAATTTTGTATAACATCTTTTAATGAAAGATACGATTTTCTTGTAACAAGTTTCTGTTAAAGTTGTTGAAAAAGTTACAGTCTTAGAGTACCTGGCCTTACTATGTTCTTAGCTATACTTAAGAGTATTTACCATTCGTTTGATTGCCCCTATTTTCTTTTTGAAGTTTTACAACTTTGCCGACTGCCTTTCATATTATGAATTGAAACATGCGCACAAAGAGCATTCGGCAACTGTTTGCCGCAAAGAATCCGCTGCTGCCCCCTCGATTGTACGTAGAAGAATTTAATTAAAGTAGCAGCAAAGTCTGGACTCGTCCGCTTTATTTGGGTAAAAAGAACGCAGCAAACTGCAGTTGCATTCGACATGAGCATGGGCAAACAAAACTGCTGGCTCTAATTACCTGTGCATAAACTTTTCCCAGTAAATGTTCATATTTATTTTCGTAGCTGAGCCATTTTTTCGAGGTTTTTGTTGCCTTGTGAGCATGCAACACAGCAACAGTTGCTGCCTCTGCCTCCACTGCCACTGCAATGTGTTCTAGTTGTTTATGCATTATTCACATACTTATGCTGCATGCTCAGTTTCAGTTTCAGTTCAGTGGGCTTTATTTTTACTTTCAGCTTACTGCAAATGTGGCACATGACAACGGCAACGGCACAGTTTGCAATCAACAAACGGAAGGAGAAAGGGCGCCTCTTCATATTTGTTTGGAAAACATGCTGAAATCCCCGCTGGTGGGCCAAAAGTTTTCAGCAGCCAGCCAAGAATTTTCACTTTTCATTGCTGCAGGGCAGCGGCAACATTGCATGCCGCATGCAACAATAGGCAAAGACAGCAGCAGGTTACAGCCTTGTTACTGATTATATTTATTTGTCAATGATTTAATTCGGATTCGACTTGATTGACAGACACTCGAAAATCTGCCCCAATCATTTGCCAGTCACTTCTGACTTTTGCAATCGCAGCTCGGCATCTCGGCAACTTGCAACAGTTCAAGGTTACCAGTAAACAAAGGGCCCAAAACTTAATTCACTGCTAGTCTATCGATTATTGTCTAGCCGAAATTCATCATTTTAGTTGGATCGAAATAGGAATTTCGCTTATGGTCTGAGCAGCTTCCTCTTTGGGGCTGTAGTGCAAAATTGCACTTTACATGCATGGCCGCAAAACTAATTACCAACTGAAAGTGTCAAGCCATTGAGGCTGCCTCTTGTAGTCGAGTGTTCATTCGGCTGGAGTTCTCTCGGTTCAAGTGTCAAGTTGAAAAAGTTTGTCGGCAACAAAGACTGTAACAAAAAAGGGGCAATGTAGACCTACACAAAATGTTCATACGTAACTTTAAGTGCAGCAGACAACATGAAAAATGTACAAAGCCAAAAAAAAATCACAAGAAGTGGAATAGAAAAAAGAGGAAGAAGCAAAAGAGGTTGTTCACCTGAATACAGAAAACTTAATACCCTGTAAAAATAAAAAAAAAGCTCGCAAAAAAGCAAAAAATAACAATTGTAAAAGAAAAATTACCGCAAATATGCATACACATCGAACGAAAATAGGCATTGACATAAGCTATAGCGCATATACTGACTAAGTAAGGGCGTTAAAAAGGGTATAAAATATAAGTAAGTTATTAAAAATGCATGTTGAAGGAAAACAATCCAAAGACTTTATACAGAGAGAACAAATTGTAACTAACAAAATGCAATCTAACTAAAAATTTAAAAAATTATGTCATAACTGAAACCATATAAATCACTAAACTTATTTTATCATTTAAAATGGAAAATTAAGTGATAAAATAATTTTTTTTTGAGCATTTTTGTATATATTATTAAATACTTTTTTAAATTAAGCACAGATTTTGATATGCAAGGGAACTTGATACACCAATTATTTCTTAATTTGCTGAGCCTCTAGCAACCTAATTAATTAAATTAGTTGTAATTGCATATATTATTACTAATAGCACTAACCATACAACATATTGTAGCTAGTAAAACTTAATTACTTTTGTCTCCTAACAGTAAAAATGGCAATTTGAAATGTAAATTTAATCTTAAAATTAAAATAACTATAAATCGCTCACATTTGCTTCCCCCTAATAGTGTATTCTGTCATTTGCACAGATTTTTTCAGTGCAAAAAGCGAATTTTTCTATTTAGTTTCTTCGTTGCTGTGTCGCTGAAAAATGGCTGCAACATAAAAATTGACCTCAGCGACAAAAGGCGGCCAACGACGCCGGCAACTTTAGGAAGCGAATACAACCGGACAGAATGGGGGGGGGAGGGGCTGCAAAGGGGGGTCGGAGCAGAGCACACACTCAAAAGTAGAGCAGCAAATGCAAACTGGCCCGGACCAAGTCGTGGGGGCAACAACAACAACAACCGGCTGGGCAAACGCGATCAACAACCCAGCGAACGAATGGACGAACACATTGCAGCCAAGTTTGGGGGCTTGGAGATATGGAAAAGGGGGCGACGAGGGGGATTGGGGGTCGTGTCTTTGGTGGGCAGACAAATTACAGTAGCCAGATTTTCTCGTCTTCAATGTTGTTTTGCATTTTGCACTCGAGCCACGCCCAACGCCCCCCCCTCCTGTTGTTGCTATTTAAGTTGATGTTGCTGCTGCTGCTGCTACACGCGCCGAACATGTTTTTTGTGGTCCGGCTATTCATGGCTCTATCTTTTTGTTGTGCCTGTAGTTTTATTTTTCTAATGCTCTCAAGAATGTGGTTTACTTTTTGGATGAGTTAACAAGCTAGCCGCAGTACATGTGCTGGCCATTGTTGCCGTATGCACACGAGTGTACCTCGAGTTTGTCATAGAAAGTGTTTGCTCCAACAACCCGTACATCAGATTCAAATGATAATTTAAGACGAATTCGCGACGTGACTCAAAGCGTAAATCAATTTATGTTTACTTTACGTCCCATAAATTTTGCACCTTTTGATTTAATACCTTGCGAATAACTAAAAACCATGTTTTACCTCGTTTACTCGTTTCAGAAAAGCTTCTGAATTGGTTTTGCCGCATCTCAACGTGTTTGTTTGGGTAAGTTGGGGATTAGCATTTTTAATACATATGTTACAGAATAGAAGTTGCATGTGATTGAAGGCTAAGCTCATATATACGTTCAATAAAGAATTCACATGTTTTAAGTCAAGTTTCTTGCCATAAAAACACAATTAAAACGTTTAATGCTTTACAATTATGTGCTAGTAAATTTATTTATTTATTGAAAACATGTATACTTTAGTGCTCTTAATGTGTCATAACAACTTCTTTAGGACTTTGAAAGCTGTTCCCATTTTGCACTGGCTTGGCACTAGTTCAAGTGCATTGCTATTTTCCTGCAATTTATTAAAAATAAATGCAAATCAAAAGCGAGAAACCAACTCTGTGCCAAATGTGTCAATTGGGGAGAATCCGCTCCCTCTTCGCCCGAATTTCCGTCTCCATTGGTTGGTGCTAAGTGCGTTGGCCTAACGGCAACTTTCTGGCTTATTTATGTTTGTGGCAGCTCGCACGGGCTCATATGGAAATGAGGCCTAGTTTTGTTGACCATAAACAGATTATGAACAAATACTGCAGCGCTCACTTTTCTTTTTATTGCCATTAGCCGTGGAGGAGATGCTTTCAAGTTGAGTCATAATCTGGCATAAGCTTGATTATGGCTCTGGCAGAGTGTTTAATACGCACTTGATGCCACCTCTCACTCAGGAGATTTTTGGCCAACAAGCTCGTTGAGGCGTGGCCCCATTTGCCACTGACGTCTTTTTTGGTTTGCTAAAGCGATGGGTTGCGGGGGAGGGGGAGGGGGTTCCGACCTGCCCACGCTTCTGGAGATTTATGGCCAAGTGTGCGCTCGGCGTCAGCGTCGCTCATTCTCAATCTAAATCTGAATCTGACTCTGATGGTGACTTATTTATGTGACTGGCGGGCTGCTGTTGCTCTCTCAAGTGGCGTGGGCAGCACCGCGGCTCCAAGTGCTTTTCACTGCCTTTCTGCGCGTTTTCGGCAGTACAAAACGGTTGCAAAGTGCTCCAAGTGCAGAGAAAAAAATGTGGCACACATTTTTGTAAAAAATTTATTTTTTTCTTATATTTTCATTTATTTCCCTATAATCTTTAATGTCAAATAAATTAAGAATATACGCTGAATGATATAAATTATAAGTCACTAAATAATTCTCTAAAGCCTTCTCATTTTTTAAATTTAGTTTAATCGCAATAATTGTGTGACTTTATTGTAAACAACTAATGCAAACTTAGTAAATCTCAATAATAATGTTAATTAATAAATACACTACTTTTAATTACAATCTATTTGAGCTTTTAAAAAACCGCATAAGGACGTTTGAAAAACTTCAATCGATTTTGGTTCAATAAATGAAAATAGAGCTGAAAATAAAATCCTTAAATCTATTGATCGATGCTTTTATTTCGCAATATACTGACATACACAACGTAGAGTTGAGAAGAAGATAACAAAAATAATTGTTATTACAATTAATTTTAGGAAAGTATTTTAAATTTCTGGCAACTTTAGCCATTTCAAACTTGTTTTTAAGTAGTTAGGAATTTCAAATGATTGTAGATTTAAGTTAACTATTTGCTGAGCTCTCTCAAATAAATTATTTTAAATTACTTACAAAAAACTACTATTTTATATCTACTAGAGATAAAATTCATTTAGCATATCAAAAATCTTTAAAACAAATTTATAAAGCCTTGAAATTGTTGAAACAACTTTTTGTCTGTGCAGCGCGTTTCCCTTTAGTGGAATTAGTTAGTCGCGTTCCGTACTCGCAATCTTTGATTTATTGCTAATTTCGGCAGCGAGAAATTCCCTTAGCTGTGGCAGTTGCAATTCGGTAGCATTTTGTTGCTTTGACACCAATTGGTGTTTTCGGCTGTCTGTAGCACGCTATTGTGCATTGTTGCCGCTGTTGCTGCTGTTGCTGCTGCTGCTGCCGATGTTGCTGTTGTTGATGTTGCTGTTGCTATTGTTGCATGCCAGTCACTCAAATGGCTGACAGCCAGCGAACTTCGTGTTCGAGTTCGCGTTGTTGCTGCAGAAGCTGTGCGACGGTTTAGGCCGCCTCAAGTGGCCCACTGAAGGTCAGGCAATTGGTGTTGCTAATGCTATTGCTATTGCTGCCATTGTTGCTGCTGCCATTGCATCCGAAAAGTGATCGAAACAATGTTTTGAGAGCCCTCGAAGTTAAGCACTTGAATGGTCAATGTCGCTATTGTGGTCACACTTAATATTGTTTGTTTTATAATTATTGTTGGTTATAAATATAAATTTGAGCAACGAAGATTACACCATTTGTGGTTCATGTACTCGAACCATTAATTCAATTTTTTCATATTTAATATAAATAAACTCACAAATTCAAAAGACAATCTTTAATTGGATTTATATCAACACTGTTATTTCAGATTAAAAAATAAAAATAAATTAAAAACATTTTTTAATAACATTTCAAATTCAATGACTTTTTATGTTGCCGGCATGCATACAGAAAGAACGAATATAACTTTGAAATGATTTTTTCTTTGCCTTAAAATTCATTATGAATATTATAAATTATTCTGCTTATTGAATATTGATGTCCCAACGAAGTTCCATGACTCAATCTTAAGCAATTTTGCTTGCCAAAAGGAAAACAAAGCCAAAACAATCAAAAACTCAAATAAAACAAAACATTTGGCATATCATGAATATTTTATGAACTGAACCCAAACCCAAACCCAAACCCAAACCCGTTTCGTTCGCCACTCGACTTTAGCTTTAACTTCGACTTCATCTTCGTCGGCGGATCCGTTCGACATTTTTCGCGCCGGCTCACTCACTCGCCCTCATTACAAAACACAAATCATGCATTGCGTTTACTTAACGGTTAACAAAAAGCTGACAAATTTATTGTCGCCGCTGACATAAATATCGGTATCAGACTTCTGACCCACTGGAAATGTGTCAGGCGGCGGTGGCTGCCGCGAATTTGCCAAAAGATCGTGCTGTAATTGACATATATACGGGTATATAGTATATCGCCATACATCAGGTTCTCATTATGCATGGCTTGGGCCAAGACAAAAGGCTGAGATGGCGGCGAGAAACCGCTTGAGAAAATAATCAAAAACGTTCTCCGCAGTGTTTGTGTGGTCGCCGCTTCAAGATCAAAGGAATAAATACATGAAACTTACTTTTAATGAGGGTCACATGGCTTTTGCTTGTACTTTCCTCCGAGGTTTATCATTTTGAGCCAACTAATTTTGGATTCTTATCTTACTGGTGACACAAAAACAAAACATTTAGCTCAATTAATGTTTCCCAACGGAAATTGTTAAGCGTGTGATCCACTTCAGGTGTTTTAAAACAGTAGCAACAATGAATTTGTCATTCTCCAATTAGCCGATTAATATAATCTTACAAATTCTGAGATGTTTTCTAAGATCTTGACTTGGTTAATTAAATTGATTGGCGTTAATTAAAGTTAAATAAGAATCTTAAGGCTTTTCCATAGAAATTAAACATCAATTGTAACCTTAATGTTTTATTGTTTACATTGTATAATAAGTTTAATTTTCTTTTGTTTAGCTGAGAAATTTCTGCAAACATTTATGGGCAGCTCAGGCGTATTTTTTACAGTCTTTCACTTTCCACTTTTGTGGCCTGTATTTGGTACTATCTGATTAATTTTATGCATATTTTGTAGCTATCTTGCTAATGAACTGCTAAATGCCAAAATTGGATTCTCAAAGCGCGTCTAAGAAATTTCACTTTTCCAGCAGAGCATTGCGAATGCCAAATCCCAACCGGTTACACACAATATCTAGTTTAAATTAATTTCTTTCTCGAGCTCTGCCCGCTTTGTTTTTTGCCAATTTTAATTAAAACATTTCTGCTGAGTGAAAGTTTTCCCCTTCGCATTAGCAGATCTAGCTTGTTTTTGCTTCTTTAATGGTCAATTGTCAGCTTCCGTTCTGCAGAGCAAAAAGAGTCGAAAAGGCAGAGGAAGACGAAGATGAACAAAAGACAATTTTAATTAAAGCACAAACAATGCACAGTTTGTGGGGAATTAAATGGCATTTTTCCACTTGACAGCCCGGCGAGCGAATGACCAAAATGTGCAAAGCCAACAAATTGTGAAGCCAGTTAATTAATTGCCTTAATAGTTCACAGATGTTTACAGTTAAATCTGTATGTTATTGTTTTCGGTTGTTGTCCGAATGATGTTTTCATCATGCTGACTTCATTTGAATGTATGTTTTTTATTTTGGTTTTCGCTCGCCCAGCTTGTGTTCAAGCACTTGAGGTGCTTCACAATCCGAGTTTGGAGCTGGAAATGTCCTTCTGCAGAGCCAGGGAATTCTTCGGAGTACATTGACTTTGGCTTTGGCTGTGGCTTTTGGCCTGCAGTTCGCTTTGGCCAGCAACCATGGGCTGAATTTAACACCTTTTTTGTTACGGCCGCGCATGTAAAGGCCCAAAAGCAGAACTAGACAGAGTAGCAGTCCCAACAATGGCTGTTGCTGTTGCAGCTGCCGTTGCCACTGCCACAACAATGACAACAGCAAATGCAACTGCAACAAGGGAGCAGCAGCAGCAGGAACAGCAACATCCATGGGCAAAACCCTTTAAAGGACAGCGGCAATGCACTCAAAAAACTGACGACCCAAGAGCATGAGTCGGAGATCGTGACGTGACGTGATGCGACTGACGAGCAGAAAACGGACAACCATCCGCATTTAAGTCTCAAATTGATTCTCCCCAGACAACAATGCGACCTTGCTTTTCTTCCAGTGCACACAGAGAGAAAATATTAACAAAATTGGCCAGCAATTCGAAGATTTTTCATTTTTTCATAAACATTTTTGTTCTCCCCAAGTAAAATACATGTTTTATTGTCTTATTGATTATCAGTTTATTAATGTGGTAGATGCCTAGAAACTATTTCAAATTGCTTTACAGAGTTAAACATTTTTTAGGGAAATAAATATAAGCTTTATTTGAATAATGACTATTGAAAATTGTTTTAAAAT